GTTCCCTCACTCAGCCACTGTTATAAAGTCATTTTTGTCCAAAGCAAGATTGCTTTGTATCAGCACGTTCACTCTCTGAGCTCTGAAAACTCCCCCTAGCTATTCAGATAAACTTTTCTTCCTACTTCTTTCCAATGTTTATTTTCTTGGCATGTTTTCTGTAACTTGCCAACATGAAAGATTTTAGCTTCTTTTATCGTGATGCACTTTCCCTGCCCCGTTATGCATTCTGCCCATTGCTCCTGCCTCTTCCTACAGGGCTCCCATATCCTTTCTGCATATTCAGAAAATGCACCTCCCTCCCTGGCCAGGTAGATCTCACCTTGTACCATCTATGGCCAAGCTCTTGGAAAACGCTGGGAGACTGTGACTTCTGCAGGTTGAACTCCATCTTACCACACTCCTCTTGGTTCAGCATTATCTTTCATGTTACGTTGTCTGGGTTTCAACTTGGTGCCAATTGACAAGAACTCCCATGTGCATACTGTCTACATACTATGTATGTAGTAGCTTTCCCTTTCTGCCTACGCGCTCTCTCTCCCTCTCTCTCTTTCTGTTCTTAAATCCTGGTGTTCATGATGTGTAAACAAATCATTCACTGCCCAGGGACCTACACTCTTTGAAGGAGCTTAGCGTTGAATCAGTTGCCGATAAGACAAATATGAGGATGTGAACGATTCTGTCCAGCACCAATTTGAGTTGTTACTATCAGGGCGGTCACACTGGGCCCACAATCAGAAGAGCCACTCACTTAGTTTAATGCTCTTGAGATTGCTGTCTTGAAATTCTTTTATTTTTTAATAGCAATGCTTACTTTTATAAATTTTTAACAACATTTTTTTTTTAACAAGGGGTCCTGCATTTTCATTTGGCACTGGGACCCACAGACTATGAGTGCAGTGCCAGTTATTGTTACTGTTATCGTTGCTGTGTTGTTGTTGTGTGTGCAGCCCCACCTGCATCCCAGCAGGTGAGCATTCCTGAATTATGGGGTGCTGGCATTTACCAGTGTTCTCCAGAACCTGGGCAGACTCACAGCTGCCCAGATACAGCAGGGAACAGCAGACACAGGCAAGGGATACTTCCTCACTCATTTCTTCCATTCAACAAACATTTATTGAGCCTTGCTCTGTGCCAGCTACTGTGCTAGGGACATTAGGGGTGATGACAAAGAAAAAGATATCCCATGCCCTCAGCCCCCATTCAGAACTCCAGAGCTATGAATTAAGGCATCTGCTCACACTAAATAAACCACACTCCTGGTAGAGTAGAAAGAGTGCCACATCAGAACTCAGGAGACCTGGCTTCTAGACCCTGCTCTGCTCTTGACTTGCTGTGTGACATTGGACAAGTCACTTCCCCTTCCTGGACTAGATCACTGCCCAAAGGCAGATGACCTCGGACCTTTATCAGAATTTCTGGAAATGCAGATTCCTGGTCTCCACCCCAGAGTAACTGAATCAGAATTTCTGGGAGTGGATCCCAGGAAGCCTCACCCTAGCCGTCTAGGAGATTTTAACTTGCATTCTCGCTTGGGAACCTCCAAAGTGGATGGTGTGAAGTTGCCTTGGCTCTAACAGTCTACATTTGGTAACTTCAGCTCTCAAGTTGGGTCTTCAACTCAACACTGTGCCATGCCCAGGAAAGGAAAGAGAGTGAGGCAGGGACTGGAGGGAGCTGCTCTTCACTACCAACCTGGAAAGCAATCTTCAGAGGGAAGCCAAGGGCAATTCTGGTAAGAAATAGAAAGAAATGCATCTGGAGATGTGCAAATAGGGCTTTGGGGAAAGCAGGGTAGAGGATCTGGAACTAAAGTCGTGGTTTGACCACGAAGACACACTGATCTGCTGCTCAGAACCCTGCCCAAACTACCCAGGACTCCAGAAAAGGGCCTTTCCAGAGCACCTGCTTAGGAAGGCAATATGGCGGAGCCCTTGTCACCCCCTCAGCTCTGGGAGGGCTGTAGTCTGCTCATAGCTGGATATTCTAGAACTGTGCTATCCTGTAATGTTTTCAGTAGCCACATGGGGCTATTTAAACTTAAGTTTTAATTAATTAACATTAAATAAAATGAAAAATTCAGTTCCTCAGTCACACAAGCCACCTTTTGTAACTGGCGCCTACCATGTTGGGCAGCACAGGGAATACCACATTCCCATCTTAGCAGAAAGTTCCAGTGGACAGCAGTGTTCTAAAGAGAGAAGAAACCTTACCTATCACCTGCTCCCACTCATGTTCATCCAGCCACTGGGTGTTTGTAAAAAACGAGGCTACTTTAGGATTTTACTCTTGGCTACAGCTACTGCTGCTTTCAGAATAAGCTAACACCACTTCCAAATCCGAACCCAGTTCGATTAGCCTTGGGCGGTTCTTACTAAGAGAGGCACACCAGGCCTGTCTGTTTTGTCCATTACTCATGCCATTTCTGACAGGAAGGCTTCATTTCTCATTTCACCTGTAAGCCACAGGTCCTCTCCTTTGAGCCTGTCTTACTGGCTGTAAGATTTCTTAAGCTCAGTTGTATAGCAGGCACACACGGCCTCAGCTAGCTCTCAAAAACAAGTTCTGGCATCTCTCCTGTTCCCTCCCACGGCTCACTGAAGGAGCCTTCAGTTCCTCCCAGCAGGGGCATCCCTGTCATCCCAGCAGCCCTCCACACTCACCCTTCTTCCCCATCTGAGTCTGTTTCTCAGGCTCCACACTCTCCTCAACCCCCGTCTTGGGCAGACTTTTGAAAACACAGCCACTGAAAGATGACTATTCAACCGCCTCATTCCATCCAGTTCTCCCTCTCCTGAAGTCCTCCTCCCATATCTAAAAACCTTCCTTGAGGCGCCTTCTGAGGGCCAGGCCCTGTGTTAGGTGACAGGGCCCTGGACTGAATAAGATATGGTCTCCTCTCTTGAGGAATTCACCATCGATGGGAGAGATTGACACAAAGCCACTGGCATCCAGGAGCATAAGGACAGGAGTTTGGACAGGGTGATGCTGTACAGAAACCACAGAACAATGACTGTGCTGGAGGGAAGTGGGATGTGTTTGTAGATTGTCTGGATTCTCTCCCACTCCGTGAACTATATCCAAAAGGATTCCTGGCTGAGGGTCTCCTCGTCTAAATGATGAAAGCCCTGCCTACCCTTCCCTGGGGCCCTGTCTGCTTACTAGGCCTTTCTTTCCACACAGCCCCTGGCCTTGGAATTCTCACCCTGCTCCAGACCCCTGCGCCTACCTCAGTCAATGGCCCCCACCCACTCCCTAGGTCGTGCCCTTCCCGTGGCTGGCTCCAGCCCTTCCTTCCCAGCCACTCTCTTCTGTACCAGCTTTAGTGTGTCCCCAAACCCCCTCCCCAAGCCACAGCCTGAGTGCTGACATGTCCTCCCCCTCTCCATCCCTGACCCCCAACCCCATCATCATCTTCTCTCATTCCTGCATTCATCCATTCTCTCCCCATTTTTTTCTTTGAGAACATTCCTTGATTTGGACTCCAGGCTGGCCTTGTCCATTCATAAGTGATTGAGGTTTAACCCATAAATCTCCCATTTATTCATTCATTAGGCATCTCCTGAGTGCCTGGTGTATGCCTGGCCCTGTAAAGGAACTTTGAGGTCCAGAGAGACAGCCCAGAACTTGGCCTCAGGATGCTCCAGCCTGCTGGCGGAAACAGTTAAAGGCTCATGATGACATGCTGTGGCAGGGGCTCCAGCGGGCAGATGTGGAAGATACAACAGAGCAAGGGAAAGAGTTGCTTTGGGTGGGGTTGGGGAGCTGAATCTTCAGTGACAAGTGGGAAGATGGTCAGGTGGACAAGGTAGAAAGACACTCTGGGCAGAAGGAGATGCATTTGTGCAGAGTGGGGACCGGTGATGCCCAATCCAGGCAGCCCCGCATGGTGCCACGAGACAGAGGCTGCTCAGAACAAGGCTAGGGAAGGGGTGGGTAAGGAGCCTGGGGTCCTTGGAAACATGGGAGGGAGTTACACAATTTACAATTGGAAAGCTCATTCTGCAGACTATTTGGAGAAGGTAAGACAGAGAAATGGATCTGGTAAAGGCTTATACAGTCCCATAAGTTCATTTTCCACCTATTGTGAGCACTAAACATTTAGGATGATGGCTCTGCACCGCCCCCAACCTCCCACTGCCAAGGGCCATTTCTTCTGCCAATGGAAAAAAAGAAGGAAGCTTCTCTTCTGCTTGGCCATTGCAGCCCCAAGGGGCAAACACCTTGGCATGCAAGAAGGCCTTGCATTTTTATTCCACTGCTGTGCCACCATGTTTTCTTCCTCCTGATGTCCTCACCTTCAGCTCATGACTCAGAAGAAAAGTTAGTCAATAAAACAAAGGAGTTTGACTCATTTTATAATCCCGTTCTACAGATTTGGCAACTGAGGCAAGGAGTTGGCCTGGCGAAGTGACCTGAATTTGTTTCCCATTGCTGCTGCAACAGATTACCACAAATGTAGTGGCTGAAAACAACACAAAGTCATTATCTTAAAATTCTGGAGGTCAGAAGTCCAAAATGGATTTCCCTAGGCTCAATAAAATCAAGGTTGTTGGCAGGCCTGTGTTCCTTTTGGCAGCTCTAGGGGAAAATTCATTCCCCCGCCTTTTCCTGCTTCTAGAAGCTACCTGCATCCCTGGGCTCATGGCTCCTTCCTCTGTCTTCAAAGCCAGCAGCATAGCATTTTTCCATTCTCTCTCTGACCTTGATCCTCCTGCCTCCCTTTCATAGGAACCTCTGTGATTACATTGGGTCCTACTTCCATAATTTAGGATAGTCTCTCCATCTCAAGAGCTTTAACTTAATCACACCTGCAATGTCCCTTTTGCCGCGTAAGGTAACCTAGTCAGTTTCCGGAGGTGGGGATGTGGACACCTTTGGAGGCCATTATTCTGCTTATCACAGGGTCTTTTCAGCATCCCTTTGAGCTTTTCAATCCCAGGACTCCATGAGCATCTGTTGTTACTGACCCATGGCTCTGTCCGTCTTTGTTCTTTCAGAGGAAACGACATTTGAAGCAGGAGTGAAAGTTCAGATCCACAGTCAGTCTGAGCCACCTTTCATCCAAGAGCTGGGCTTTGGGGTGGCTCCAGGGTTCCAGACCTTTGTGGCCACACAGGAGCAGAGGGTAAGTTCCCTGGGCTCCCAGGATTGATGGTCCTCAACCTCCCCTGACCCCAGAGGCACAAGGAGGAGAAATGGAATTCCTACTCGGTCAAGGGCTTTACTGTGAAACTGGAGAAAGGTGTTGGCTAACCTTCTTCACCAGTTCTCCTGTACCACCTGTTGGTTCCTAAAATTGGGCATGAAGGAAACCCAGCTCATTTTTCTTTTCACCAAGCTAGTTGGGTTTTTTCTTTTCCAGACCATTCTGTTACAGTTGACTTTTTGCACAAGTTAATTTAAAAAAAAAAAAAAATTTTTTTTTTTTTTTGGCCAGGGGATGCTAAGGGAAACTGCTAACCAGGGTTTGATATGTTTCATCACTTGTGTTAATACAATTCAAAGCAGCCTACAAAAAGAAAAGGGATGGAGGCGTCCCTCTCCCATCACAGAGTTTAAGTGGAGCGAGCCCTTGTTGCGTGGGCTCCTGCCTGCTCTCTTTGATATAGCGCTGGGGAGGGGACCTCACCCATCCAGCTGGGCCTGCTGCATCAATTCTGTCTGTGGGTGGAGGGAGGACGGGCACAGCCTCACGTCTGAAGCGAGTCTTACATCTCAAAAGGGAGACCTTCGCAAACTCTCAGTAGGGAGGCAGTCTCAAAGCAGGACTGCGGAGAAAGACGGACTCCATTTCTTTCTCTTATCTCCTGGATACTTGTTGCCTGGTTTTCCTAGAATAAAAGCTGGAGAGACTGTAACTGGGAGGGAATCCTAAATGAGATCATCTAAGACAAGTTTCTGGGGGAGACCTTAGGCAGAGCTAAGTCAGTGAGTAGTGAAGGCACCCGCTCTGGGGTGTGGGAAAGGGAGATTCAGGGAGAACCACGACGGAGGAGCAAGGGAAGATACATACACATAATGGATGAGCTCAGCTTGCTTTTAAAATGCAGATGGACAGGCAGCCTAGGTGAGCTGAGAGCCTGAGCTACTAGCCTAGGTGAGCTCCTGAGTACTGTCAAAAGTAAACAAAGCTGGACATGGGATGACATGGTGAGGGCAGATTTTAATCAATTATATACTTTTGCAATAAGGAAGAGGGTGCAGCATGAGCTGAACTCAACCCCAATTCATAGAGAAGGCCCGGGTGTTTCAAAGAGAGAATGAGAGAGTGGGTAGAGGCAACAGCAAGGGCTTGAGCAACAGAGTCAGAGAAGTAAAAAATCACAAAAAACAGGAAGGGGCTTGGGTGCTGGTCCTTGTGAAAAGCATCTGGATTTGCTAACTGGTGCTTATTGAAGTTAGTTAGGCTCCTACCCTAACTAGCTCAAATGTCATCTTTCATCTGGTACTGATCACAGCTGTTTAGCCATTTTATAAAGTGATATTCTGCATTAAAAACTGGTTGTAGGGCTGGGCATGGTGGTTCATGCCTGTAATCCCAGCATTTTGGGAGGCCAAGGCAGGAGGATCGCTTGAGCCCAGAAGTTCAAGACCAGCCTGGGCAACATCATGAGACCTTATCTCTATTTAAAAAAAAAAAAAAAAAATTACTTAGGCATGGTGGTGCATGCCTGTGATCCCAGCTACTTGGGCAGTGGAGGTGGAAGGATCACTTGAGCCTGGGAGGTACAGGCTACAGTAAGCTGAGATTGCACCACTGCCCTCCAGCCTAGGAGACAGAGCTAGACCCTGTCTTAGAAAAAAAAAAAAAAAAAAAAAAAAAAAACTGGTCATAAATCTATACATAAGCAATATTATTTTTTACTCTCTGGGAAAGTGTTGATGGCGTAGGCCTCACAAACTGTACCCTGTACACAATGCCTGGGCAGTTAATAAAGGCCAAGGTCAACCTTCACTGAAGCACATAGGGAATGGGATTGCAGCTTTGATGCAGGGGCAGGAGGTGCTGGAAGGTTAACCTGGCCTCTATGGGCTCCCAGAGACTGAGACAAGTGGTGCAAGCAGAAAAGGGGATCTCCAAGGGTATGCAAGGTAGAAACCAAATGATGCAACCAGGAAAATGTATCCTTGAGGACAAAGGAGGGCATAAGGATGGCAGGGGCAAAGTTCAAGGCGAAGGATTTGAGAGTCAAGAAGAGAGAGAACAACGATTATCCAGTAAAGGCATGCAGATGGACAGGCAGCCTAGGTGAGCTGAAAGCCTGAGCTACTAGACTAGGTGAGCTCCTGAGTACCGTCAAAAGTAAACAAAGCTGGACATGGGTTAACACGGCGAGGGCAGATTTTAATCAATTATTTACTTTTGCAGTAGGGAAGAGGGTGCAGCATGAGCTGAACTCAACCCCAATTCATAGAGAGGCCTTGGGTGTTTTAAAGAGAGAATGAGGGAGTGGGTAGAGGGAACAGCAAGGGCTTGAGCAGCAGAGTCAGAGAAGTAAAAAATCACAAAAAACAAGGTATTGGTCCCTGTGAAAAGCATCTGGGTTTGCTAGCTGGTGCTTATTGAAGTTAGTTAGGCTCCTACCCTCCCACAGAGATGGGGAGACAGGGGCCCTATATTCAGGTGTTGGCTGAAACAAACAGTAAGTAAATTCTCTTAGCAGCCTCGAGTTTTCTCAGGCAGGCACTTTAAGAGGGGATAGAGGCATTCTAGGGATGCGGCCTTGAGCTGTTAGAAACTATGCTAGTGTTTGTTCAAGTCTTCATAGGCCAACCAAGGGTGAGGCTTAGAAGAGAAGAAGGCCCAGAAGAGCCTGGCCAAAGTTTGATCAAGGAGAGAAAATCGGTCAGCACTCCCTTCTATTGTATGAATAAACCCACATCCCTTCAAAGAACCAGGCACAGGTTAGACTCATCAATATGTGTATACATTCTGTGACTATCTAAAAGTAAATTTTTAATTAGTTGTCCATGGCAAATCTGACTTTGTGGCTTGTTGAACGTACCTACCCCCACTGTCATGAATTACTTACTTGTGTTGACATCTCTCTGCTATCTACATTGTTATTAGCAGGCAGAATAAGTGAACAGCATTCCTTGGAACCCAGTGTGTAACTTCTCCCCACCGCTGGTAAAGGGTGGAGAGGAGGAGGTTCTCTGTAGGCTGTTATTTTTCATCAGCCTGAGAGATGTGCTTTTTCCTCCCCCAGTCCTGGATGATCTTCCATTAGTGAGATGGAAGAAATTTCTGGGCTGGGTGGGAAGTTGGAGCCATGACTTCTAGGAAGCCTTCAGTTTCTCTTTCCCTTCCCAATATGAAACAGAAGGACTCCCCTTGGTGAGTAGGATGAGGAAATAGAACATATTCCCAGCTTTGGAGGGCAAAGTCGCTGTTAGCTTTGAAGTGTATTCTCAGAAAATCAGCCCCATTCATGTCTGTATTTTCATGATTATTATAACTAATAAGATATTTGTTAAACATTTTACAGTCTTCAAAGCATTTCCGCATCATCTCATTTCATCGTTTCATTTATATTAATAGAGAAATACAAAAACACATCCCAGAGCTAAATCTAATAATACATTATATTTACATGTGTATAAAAGAGCATATTCATAGGAAATAAGACTTGAAGGAAATCAGCCAAAATACCCACAGTGGGGGAATTATGACTGATTTATTTTCTTCTGTGGGCTTTCCGTCTCTTTCATGTTGTGACTTTGTTCTATTTATTCATACAGCAAATATTTGCTGAATACCTACTATGAGTGAAGTGGTAGAGATACAGTGGTAAACAAAACAGACCCCGTCTCTGCCCTCACAGAGCCTGTAGATTAGTGGTTTCTTTAACAAAGGAAAAAATAATGTTAAGTCAAGTATATTTTGGGGATTTAGCCCCAGCTGTATGATCTCATTCTGCGAGTATGCAAACCTATCCAGTTGATCCTGGTCCTCAGACACTTCATTTCATTAATTGTTAAGAGGCATATCTGTGTTCACATTTTAGCATTTCTGAAATAAGGATTTGTTTTACAATCAATTAAGTCTTAAAATTACAATAAGCAGTGTTTGTTTTTCTCTCTTGGTTATACATAAAATCGTGATGCATCTTATAGTATATGGTATATCAATAAAATGTGGCAACTACATTGCCATCAATCCAAGATTCTTCTGCTTTGGCTCAAAGTTTAAGGAAACTGCAGGAAGGCCGGGGTGACAAGTGGTAGGAAGCAGAAAGCGCTTTCCTGGAAGGTTGGTGTGAATCATGCTAGGAAAATTGACTCCAGAGTAAGAGCCCTAAGAGGAACTAGTGGCTTAAAGGAATCCTACCATGAGTCTTTGTATACATGGGAAAGTCTTTTTGCGTGGTGAAAATTATCTCACCCATGCTTAATTACACACACACCACACTTTCCAAATGTTTTAAATTTTATTTTATTGTCCTAAAGAATATACTCTTGGGCTGCAACCCAGTCCAAAGATTGCTTTCTTAATCTGCATTTGCCCTAAAAACAAATAAGCCAAGGTATGCCTTGGCTGCCTTCCTAAACAACCTTGAGAAGTGCCCTGGTTAGCTCAGTTGCTGTAGAAGCCCCTGCACAGTCCCAGGACCACCAGAGACAGGTAGCCGGGTAATATGCTGGAAGCAGAAATAGAACCCTGGGAGGGGTAAAAGAATAACAACAGTTCCTATCAGTGGAGCGCATGCCACCTGCCAGGCATTATGCCGCAGGGACGCTTGAGGCGCATTATCTCATGTAATCTCCCACAACAACCCTGCAAGGGAGGTACTGATATCTCCACTTTCCAGATGACAAAACTGAGCGGTTAAGTAACTTGTTCAAGGTTGCGTAACTAGGGGAGCAGCAGGGTTGGGCTTCAAGCCCAAATCTGCCACGTTCCCACACCCATGCTCTTTCTGCTCTGCCACACTGCACGGGTGTAACTCAGGAAGACTCTCTGGAGAGGGCACACAGGGAGCTAATCCAGGGAGGGACTGGCTGGCAGGCTGGTCTTTTCTCACCATAAGCCCGAAAAAATAAGGCTACTCGGCACTGTGGAGAACAAATCAGCATAGTAGCCCAGAGGCCTGGATTCTAGTCCTGCTGTGTCATGGGACTTTG